CGTACGTACAAAAAAGAATGATGGCTGGGGAAGCATAGCCCTTGTGTCTGCTTTGTTTAATTCGCCACTGCTAGTAGACGCCGTAGAATCCTAGAAAGTACTCTGGTATGGTGTCACTATCGGCATAGTGTGGTGTTTACATGCCCCGAATTGAATTTGAATTGATGCCTTATTTTACGTGGCGAGTCTCGGCCCATCAGGCTCGCTCTTCCACGCAAATGACACTATCGCGTTTAACACGCAAATTTCACTACGCTTCTTTCACTAACTAGTGGAGAAAGAAGCTATTTCTTAGGCGACGAAACAGGCGATTTGAATTTAGCTCAAAGGCGTCATTTGGGCTTGAGGATCTTTTACATGCAAAGTAAATCTACTAACATGGGACAGCCGGCTTTACTTCCCCTCCGAAGTAAAGCGTACGAAAGATTTTTTCGCCCTAAAAATCCACGGCTTCGATCAGGTTTGAACGCGCCAGCTTGTGTCCGATACGCTAACAGTTAAACCATCGCCGCCGCCATGACATTGAATTGATTACGTGTACAGCATGGCTTCATCGAGTGTGTCTCAACGATCAGTAGTGTAATGTTGGGAAGAGGGAGGGGCTGTGCAGCGGAAACGGATGGTCGCGGGCTGAGGCGCGTGCGGGGAGCAGCGTACCCAGCGAGCGGTTGGCGAGCGGGGGCGCGGCCAGCGGCACGTGCCGGCGGAGCGCCAGCAGCCGCTCCAGGGGCAGCTCGCTGAGCGCGCGCACGGCCGCCGCCTCCCCGTCCTCCTCCTCCCACTCCTCCTCCCACTCGCCGTCCTCCTCGTCCTCCCAGTCCTCGTCCGCCCAGTCGTCCTCCGCCTGGGCGACCGCCGTCGCCGCCAGCAGCACCAGGGCGGCCGCAAGCGCCGCGCTCCACCTGCCACAGGGAAGCCATTCAACTGCTGTGCTCATTAGCTCAGATGGTAAAGTGGTGTTTTTATCCCCGGAGTTGACGCTGTTTCTCTCTCATTGGATGGCACAATCCGGTGCCGTCCTTTTATTCGGCTAGAGGGGTTTCAAACTCGAAGCTCCCGACATATGTGGTAGTTCAGTACATAGTAGGTGTAGTACATGGTAAATGTAAGTAAGTAGACGTTGCGCGCGGCTCTCGAGGTCGAAGTGCAAAATGCTGTGCAGGCCTGATGTAACCAATCAAAGAACGTCCCTTAAAGATTTCCTTAACTCCATGCGCCACTCGTATTTGACCATGATATTAGAATATATATAAAATTATAATCGATAATGGATGAGGATAGGTCATGGAAAAGGAAAGAAAGTTCGCTCGCGGTCCGTGGCCCGTTTGTTAGGGTAATGCTTCAGCATTCGTCTGGTGTTGGTCAGAGAAACCACTCTAGAGCAGACGCCCGGTATAATTTCTTCCAGACAGTGGCCGAATTCGATATTGCTATCCAGCTAGTATCAAGAATTCCGCCACCGGAAGGAGCCAATGATGCTAACTCTGATCTGACGTCCGAGAAAATTGAATCGTTTATTTTTAGACAAGAGTCAAGTCACTTTTTGTTAATATGAACGTTTTGTTTAAAATATAAGATAATCTTAATAGCCTTACATACCCATTAAGTTTTCTAAGGGCACTTTCCTGATTGTTGCTATGGAGGTTCAATAATTAAAAAAGTTACTAAATATAACTATTCCGAATTACCGAGCCTCTCAAGAAAATTTAAAAAACTAAAAACAACACCACGATCTAAAACGTTCTAAGAGAAACGTGTGAGAAGGTAAAGTCTTTCTAGGACACTACTGTACAATGGTCGACTATAATAAAAGAGTGACATATTCTATTATAAAGAGCGACTATATTTTAAAGGGCATTGTTCATGCGAACATGTACGTAGTAAATGTTTGCAAAAAATAAGTTTCCAAGTATTAGATATTAGTCTTTCAATCACAGCGCTTCATAGTAAGAAGTCTAAGGAGACGTTGATGAGTAGGAAGGGTACATATGATGTGTTTGACATATTGTTTGGTTCATTTTAAATATATTTATCGCCGAAAACAATTAAAAAGTGTCACCTGATTACAACCTGTAAGTGTGAACATGATTGGTTATTGCTGTAGAACGTCCTGTGCTGTGTTAGTAGAGAGAAAACGTGTAAATTTACATGAGACATAACTGTAACTGAACGCAAGAAAGGGTAATAGGCTGTCTAGGTAACTTTCTAAAATTAAAAAATATGTTTCTGAATGACTGATAAGATATGTGTACGATATGATAACCTAAGAATATATTTTACTTTTGTAGGAGCCTGAGAGAAAATATTTGAATTAGCCAACCTGAAATAACGGATTTTACGAGTGACGAAAAAGAAATCGAGGACTACGAAACTTCTTGGTCATGAATGGGTGTTTTTGGCATCACGACGGTCCCAAACATATATTTACGAATATGAAGTTAATTTGCGATATTCTTTCCGGGAACCGAAGAAAGATAAATATTAGAATAAGAATTACAATATGTTAGAATAAAAGAAGCTTAGAAATATTCCGGGAATATTTCAAAATATTCCGGGAATAATTCAAAATATTCCGGGAATATTTCAAAATATTCATGGAATATTTCAAAATATTAATTGTGGAGTTCTTAAAGAAATATAGACATAATTAATTTTGCAGAACGTCATTTTTCAAAATTCTGGTTTAAGCGGTAATTGTGTTGTAGCTTTCCGTATTTTAGAAATGGTGATTTAATGCAGCACGGAAAGCGGAGGGGGCAGAATGGAACGCTCATCTCGGGAGAGAGGAAGCATAAGCGTTAAAAGTTGTTAAAAGGGTGAGATAGGGGTAAACAAATTACATCTTGCAGAGGAATGTTTTTTGAATGGCTCTTTAACAAGGATAGGTTATAATAATTTTTAATCGTAACATGAATGAAACATCGGGTCAAGGACAGGATTATGTGGCTCAGTGCTTCAACTGATGACGCTCCAGTGCCTCTGTCGGGGAGGTTCTAGGATTCGAGTCTCGACAGTGACAACATTTTCGACACCAACTAGATAGCTAGGATGAATTCACCCGCTGTGTAGAGGAAAACGCTCGTGGCTGCTTTGAGCGTTAGTTTTCCGTAGTTTCTCCGATCAACACCAGGTGAATACCATCACCAACGGACCTCGGTGAGGCATGCGCGATATTTTGTTCTTCCTTAGCCTATCCTCAACTCTTACACACATTTACACTTACATACTGCACACTATCTTACAAGCCGAGAGATCAGTTAGGAGCTTAGAGCTTGTCTCGGCTGAGGCGGTGCCCCGCTGGTGGGAGGTGTCTGGTTGGGGAATAACCCCACAAGCCGACAGGTAGCTCGCCATCCCTCAGGGGAAGATCACCTCCTCCCAAGTTAAAAACACGCACTACATTTACGAGGCTAAAGACGTTAGTCGTTGAAGCGCCAGGAAACACAAAAATATCAGCCAATCAATGAATTGGGCCAAGGATGAAATCGAGATAGGAGGCGAGGGAGATTGGGGGGTCGCGTCCCAAACACGTACGCGCATTTACGCATGCGTTGGAAATCAAAGGCGTTTCGAAGGAGATAAGGGGCTATAACCGGCATGGAAAACCTTCATGAATACCTGCATCCAACTGAAATTCTGTATTAATAAAAAATGTCAAATATTACTATACTGAACCACGTAAATATCATAACTTCCACGCAATTGCAAGACCCCTGAGCCGACAGACTTTCGTTCATTCGTGTTTCACCCGTTTCCGACCTTCATCCCGGAATTTGACTAGCTTCTTACAAGCATCGTATCAGTTAGCTCTCGTCCACCTGGAGCATTCTGACAACGGTGTGTCAAGTGGCGAGACGTAAGCAAGCGGAGTACTCACCTGGGCGGCATGGCGACGCGACGGCGACTGCGGCCGTGCGCTGTGCCCCGGGAGGGCGTGGCGGGCGGGGGCACCCTGGCGGAAAGGCAGCGCTAGCGCTTCCCCGCCTTCGGCGCCGGCGGGCCCGTTACCGCACCGCTACAGCCTCCGCGGCTGCACCATTTCTACCCGCAGCCTCCGTGCACTGTTAGACAATGTCATGATATGAACAAAGTAGCGTGCCCGGGCGAGAACTCTCGCATATTAAACGCCACCCGCTTCCCTGTCCTTCTATCTCCTTGGAAGGGAAAAAGTTGTTAACGAAACATGTTAAGAAAAATTAACAAATAAAAAACGCCCAATTTACACATTTTGACTGTTGTTTTTATTTCTGTGTTAATTTTTTCTTCCGGAATAAATATATTCATTTCTTTCGTAAATAATAAATAATTTACATATTTCTAGAGTGTTTCTATGCTGCTGCAGAGCAAATTTTTGCCTAAAAAGCATTTTTTTCAAACCATCTTTTGAGTGCTTATTGCCAATAAACCGTTCGGAATATCCCAGTAGTTTATTAGACAAAAAATTCTTAAAATTGTCTCAAGAGCTTATTTGCAAAGTTTCGACGTTTCCTCCCTGCTGTAAAGGAGGAGTCAGTGTTTTCCACTGTGATTATTACCATGCCGCTCTATTAACTCTGCCTTCAGATTCTTTCTCCTATGTAGTAAATTACTTCTTCTAATACGAGTAGTCAGAATCCATCTTTTGATACTGTAAAGTCGATTGATATCAAAAATGTTGTGTCTATCTGTAAGTTTATCTGTCTGGCCGTCAATCTGTGGTCAACGCCAGCGCCTAAACCGTTTAGACAATTTTCTCAAACAAATTATGTTAATCAGTGGCTTTAAAGGAAATCGGAGCTCTGCGAGTTTGAAACTAATATTTTGATTCTGTGGGGTATTTACATAAAGCCTCAAAAATACTTCCAAGGTTTTCTAAAAAATGGCTTCAAATTTTTGGATCAAACTTTGTCCTCGAATAGCGCAAAAGACTCATAAAAGAACGGCACTGGTTTCGTTTTCGTAGACATTTTTTTATTTTCGAAAATTGGAGTATTTTAATTTTTTCGGGTCTTCCTACAACTACACTAATGAAGATGGATTTCTTCCTTAATGAAATCTGTTCTTCAAAAAAGATTTTGAGATATCCTGTATAAGTTTTCGAAAGTATGGGTAGTTTTCACGTAATTCGTGAAATGTAGGAAATTCTTAAACAATTATTTTCTAAAACAGAGTTCCAATTTTTCCTTTAAATTTTCTCCTCGCATTTATCACAGACCGATAAAAAATTGTGCTAGTCCGATTTCCGGCGTACTCTCTATATTTTTGAAAATTGCAAAACGTTAACATTTCTAAACTTCAATATTAATAATGTCTTAAATGATCTGTTCTAAAACTAGTGGTTCCAAAAGCAAATACTAACTCGCGTTATTTATAACTTCTCAGCAATATTATACCTACTGCATGAATCCGCTGTTATATTTAATGAACCTGCAAAAGTGTTTCCAATCAACAAACATTGTTTTTCGGCGGAAAGTTTGATACTTTTTAACATGGCGGAGAGTGATTCTCCTGTTTCAAAGATGGCGGCGCTCTTTCCACTGTGTATCTCTAACTCGTTGTGATCGGGTCCTCCTGTTGTTTTTTAATATTTCTTGGTTACAATATTATTTAGCAAACGAATTTTAAAATTTGGTTGCAAAGATTGCTTTATTTTATTGTTGATGGATTGGATGAGGAGTAAATGGAAGAAAATGTGTGGATCAGTTTAATTTTCAATATTACTAGAACAGTGATTTTGCATTTTTTGTTGTTGTATAATATTCTTTTCTAGCACTGACGTACCGTTCTGTAAATGAAATTAATTGGGATAATCATAATTTATTAACAAATGAAATATTTTTTTATTTCATAGAACATTAAATTTGATAATTGTTTCATTTTGTCTACTAAGTTAAAAAGTATGCATTTCTGCATTTTAGTTGGATGAGCGGAATTATAATTGAATAGAATGCCTGAATAGGGAATGTGACCAGTCGGAGGCATAGAGATTGTCCTGACGGTGACTTGCCCCGTTGGTGGTTGGATACCTGGATGTGAAAACCCCGCAAGTCGACGTATACGTTAGCGCTGGATCTCACAAACCAGCTGGAGAAGATTACTGCCAGCGTTCCCGATAAAAAACATGCACTGCACGTACAGCCGGTAGGCGCACCAGGAAACACGAAATAAATAAATACTGAACGAATAATATAGCTTCAATCTACTGATCTATATAATTTATTGCATCAAAATTATTATTTTGTTCCAATAGGAATCGAATACAACGCGAAAAGTTTCGGACTGTCCTATTTTTATTTAAACATGGCATTTTGAAGCGATTTTATTTTATAACAATTTTTCTGTTGGTTGCAGTAATTACAAAAAAGTAAGAATGTTTCAAATAAACCTTATTTAAATGAACTATTATTTGGAAAAATATAAAAATTATATTGTATCATGTTCGTATTATTCTCTCGTAACATAACGACAAAGATAGTAAAAAAAACGAAAGATCTATTGTATGTGGTAACATCTTTCTTAAAGCATGTCGAAACGTGTTTGTACTATTTCAGAATATTGAGTAAGAATGAAAATTAATTCAATGAAGTTTTACGACTCAAATTTTTGTGTGAAATGGAAATTTTATAAGGGTACCAAAATTTGAAACGCTTTTCTTTTTTCTTTTTTTGTATATACTTACTATTATATTTAAATGCATATATTTGCATACGATTTTCTTAATTTATTATCCAGCAATGACAGACAAATGGGACATAATTTTATACAAATTCCACTTGAACACAGATTTTTAATCATAACCAACCGTTCATTGTCCTTACCACTTGAAGTATTTTTATTTTAGTTTTCAGCCATTGCATTTTGATCGTATCCCGAATCTTGAAAATCACTTATTCTTGGCCCTTAATGCCATCGAAACCCGGAGCTGTCAGCCCTTCCTGGGCAGTTTCAAGTGCAGGCAATCGAAGGTGATGACCGCGATGGTTTGTCTGACTAATTTCACGATGAGTTTGATGCAGAGGCGGAATTTGTTGTTGATGATGGCGAAGCCGTGCCCTTGCACGCACACCTTCAGCACGGGCACCTTGGGCACGGGCAGGCAGATGGGCGGCGTCTTGTTCGCTGGAGACACAACAACGCAAGGCGTTACAACTTACTTTCTACACAACCTAACGCGTTCTTTTGCTCATAAAAGTACCAGCGGGAAACCTAGAAAGATCATTCCGCAAGAATTCAAAAAAATATAAGTAATATATTAATATTATGATCTAATAAGTGATTGTGTATAATCGCTAGTTATAATATTTAATCACCATATCGTCTGTTCAAAGAAATAATTACTCACTGTATCCATTCAATATGTATGATGTTAGTGTGATTTGTCTGAAACAATGATTCTTTTCGAAAATTAATAACTTTGGGTAGCCTTTGTTCGCAGCAGCTAAGAGTGGCAGAAGCCCCACCGACGAACGTCTAATTAGAGGTAGTCGGTAGTCGGTAGTCGGTAGTCGGTAGTCGGTAGTCGGAGCGCTGATCGCTAACCGACAAAACCCCCGCCCAAGGAATAGAACTTCGTGAGTTTGAACAATCTGCTAGGAATAAACCGTTCGAAAAAATAATTTTGACATAAAATTCAATGGAAATTATGCGTTGGCCAGACTCAATGATATTTTATGTTAATTGCTTAGTCTACGTGCCTGAGCTTTGTCATTAACTTCGGCACAAGTAGCGGAGCCATCAACGACGCCTTCAGAGCACTCGGTTAAATGCGAAGGATACTGGCAGATACTTCACCGGTTTGGAGTTGGCGCTGCCCTCATGGCAAAGGTTTAGTGCTCCGATGTGACTTTCCACATCCGTCCAAACAGCAAAAAAGAGAAATATTACTTTGATCAATTCACATGGTCTGTTCAATTACGTGAGCGTTTTTTGACACGATTTTTTTTATGGCAAGCCATATCCGGGGACGTGGTCTGTGAGTAACGCATATAAGTGACTCGCATTCGTCAGCAAGCATTAGCTAACTCATACTTGAGCTGTTTGACCCGGTATTATTGTTGTTATTCCGCCAATTGGAGAATGTGCGTACGATATCACCACACTGAAGTAGGTAGAAAGCAAGAAAAGTACACTTTAGAACTTTCTTTTCAAGTGGATATTTTTTTCCTATTTATGTGCATAATTTTGTGATTACATTTATGTTATTGCAAATTTAATTAAAATTGTGATGCAGGTAACGAGAGAGGTCTCTTTCACATTCGACATCGATAGCATGACCCTTTACATCTGTTCAAGAACTTCATTCACATGCATACACGTTTTCATCTGCTTCTAAACTTGATTTGAACACGTTTTTACTGTGTTTGATGTGGCGATATGGGAACAATGTAAGTTATTCGTGTAAACTGTCCCTTGCTTTCAACTTCGGGCCTTGGACTCTGAACTGACTTTGACATCAGCTGTTGGTACCGACATTAACCCAACCTGTTTCCTCTGTATGTCTTGTATTTTACATGACATATAAATGTGCCTGTTCCCTTCTCAAAGCTAAGCAAACCCATAGTTCTCCATAAACTGGTGGCCCCTGATTTACAAACTATCTTGCTCTTTTTGAGATTTGTCTAACTCAAATATACTAGGTCTTAGGTCTAATATATTTAGGTCTTGGGTGATGCTTAACTGTTTTAGAATCTGTCAAAAAAATCTATTTCCTCTCTGAACTGAACGGACCGTACTAGCTATTATGCATAACAGCTACACAAAGTGGTTAATTTTTAAGAGAATACCAAGATAATTACTTTGCCTAATTTTGATAAGATATATTATGTTTAATGGCTAAGTGTGGGTGTACTTTGGCGGTACTTTGGCGCAAAGCAGCAATTTTTAGGAGACTATAGGCATAGTGTCGAGCCGGCTTGAAGTTATCTTATAATATTTCATTTTCGTTGAATTTGTTTAAATATTGGTTTGGGTTACTTACAACGTATTACTGGCCTGCAGCAGCTCCTAAGCATCTAATGAATCCATTGATACCTCTCACTTGGCCGAAGACCGCATAGTTTTCTTTTAATTATTAAATATTTACCAGATATCAACCACAAAGATTTTTAAAAATATATTTAATATCATAAATAATGTATTTTAAAACACTTTGTGTTTGATATCTCCTGTATTCTTAATCTTTGTGGATTAGCACATCTGTAATGCAACCACTGAAGTTTTCTTTTACTTTCTGCGCGCATTGAAAAATAGTCAAACAGATTCATTCGAGATATTGATCGATTATCATTCCTGTAGGAATAAATTGTAGCTGAAAAAAGTTGCTTCCTATTATTAATTGATATATAGAATATGTGTAAATTATTTCTTAATCCAAAATAATTTATAAAAATACACTGTTGGTATCTACTAATATCACGTTCCAATACAGTAAAAATGGATCTAATTGTAATGGACATTTACAATTATAATGTATAAAAGATTAAAACGGAAGAAAATGACGATTTCCGTAACAGATAATTCAAATTGTATTCGTTACATCTTTGCGCAGAATATTTAAAACAAAACCTAATAGGAACAGAAATGCCAGTATGTGAAGACTACTTACACACCTGTTGAAATGAATATTCCACTTGTGAAATTAAAATCAATAGTATTTAACTATATGCATAAAATACCCCAATCAAGGTGACATATCTCAAAAAGTTTATTGCTTTATATATCCGATTTTTCTTACCGCTTCTCCCTTCTGGCCAATCATAAACTATGACTCATCTATCTTAAGAGGCGGTATACATCGATCGCTTTATCCATGTCCAATAAACAGCGTATGTACTGCAACAGAACCTCAGATTTTTAACATACGCTCTCAGTTATTTTCAATATTTGGTGCGTTTTGGAACTCTATAGGACATAATTTCACTCGTGAAATGAAATACCACTATTCAATATCACTTGTACTTTGGAAATTCTCAGAAAATTCCCCTCCCCGCTTCGCAAATCGGGAATTTATCGACATTTTCCAAAGCACTCGTGGTGTACCTATGACAATTTACCTGCGTAAGTGATCCCGCCGATTACCCTTTTGTTGACCAACACGTTCAAGTGGGCGGTGAAATCTGAGAGGCGGAATCTCGTGCGCAAGCACACTGAAAACAAATATTACTTTGTATCATACATTGCATTTATTTCGCGAACAAAACAATTCAGGGTACTTTCAAAAATGGATTTTTTTTTTCAAAATCGTAATAAAATTGACTTGATCGGTCAAGTTCCATTCACAATATTTTTTCTTGGTAAATTTTTTACTGTGTTAATTTCTTCTTACCTTCTTTATTAAATTTGAGCTCCTGCACCTTGATAGGGGAGCAGCAGCGGCAGCTGAGCTTGGCCTGGGTGCAACTGCAGCCGGCTCGGAGGCGCCGAATGACGTTCTTCACTGCTTTGCCCACCGTCTTGATGCCTTTGTCCACGTGCGAGACGAGATCTGGGAACCAATTCATGGATAAGTGAATCCGGGCGCGTACACTGATAAGGTCATTAGTCCCGCAAGTATAGTTTTAGTCGGCTTCTTGATTTTTCCCCAACTTGGTATCTCCCACCAGAGAGACATCGTCTAAGTTGAGACTAACAGCTCTAAGCACTAAGCTGTGTGATAGTGTAGTGCATGTGTTTGTAAGGGGTGAGGATAAGACAAGGAAGGGGAAGGAAAGATAGCGCGCGGTCCGTGAGTCGCTTGTTACGGTACTGTTCCGGCTTTCGGTTGTTCAGAGAAACTACGAAAAACTACCGATCAGAGCAGCCTGCGGCTAGAATTCTTCTCCAGACTAAAGTTGAATTCGAGGTAGCTGCCTAGCTAATGTCAAAAAGTCGTGCCACCGACGGGACACGAACCTAGAACCTACCGGTCAGAGGCACTGCAGTGACAGAAGTTTGGACACCTAATCCGATTCGCAGCAAGGCTTTTTATAGAGCAAGGCAAGTGCTTTTGAAAAATGCAGGAGGTGAGTCACACGGTTTAAAGTCTCGTTCAATAAAAGTCACCCATTTTTATCTTTGTTCGAAAAACAGCATTTTACTTAAATGATATCAGTTATGAGATAAATTGATCAGATATGCCTTTTATTTAAGAAAAGTATCGGTTGGGCTTACCATATATAATATTAGGATTCCCGTTGCTCTACGATAAAACAGAAATTTATTTTACAAGACGTTTGTGAGAAACGTTCTCTTCGCTGAGGTGTAACCTCAGAAGGCACGAAGGGTCCACTGGAGCTAAAAACCTAAACGAAACTATATGCAATGGTTTTTAGAAAATGTTGAAAATATCGCAGAAGATAATGTAAAGTACCTCTACAACTTAAAATATCTTGATAATCTCGATAATGGCACAACTAGATATTACTGCTGACGTATTTACCAAATTTCGGTTCAAAACCTTCTAATCTAACAGTTATACGTGAAACATCCATCCATCAATCCATACTATTTTCGGGTACAAAATTCCATATATCTCCTCGTCACTTATATGTGTCACCATTTTTTGGAACGTTATTAGATCTGAATACTGTAAGTGAATCTACTGCCTGAAAGTCGGATATAGTCTCCCATAAAGTCGGATGTTGCGACTGAAAATTCGAGATCGTATTGTTGAAACGACCCCAAATATTAGCCCATTTTACTACAGTATTAATGTAATTGCCAAAGAAGTATCTTTTAGTCCTGAGTGTAGAGGGGAGTTGCCGTACCTTTGATGAAGGGGTCTGGCTCCGGGGCGGGGTGCGCGTCGGCCGCCAGCGCCAGCAGCGCCGCGGCGGCGACGACGGCCAACGCGGCGGCGGGCGTCTTGGGCCACATGGCAGCGGCCAGCACGCGCCGCGGCGGCGCCTCCGCCTTTATGGGGCGCGCGCTTCCCCTGCCGCCTCGCCACGTCCTTCCGCCAGGGGAAGCCCCGTCGCATTAGGAGATAATTTTACGGAAACAAAGATAATTTTGTAGAATAAATATAAATACGTTAGTTCGACACGGTTATTTAATTGCTGATTATAATATTTCATGTTTTATTCGTAGCGCCTGCACGTTTCAGGCATTTATTTTACCAAAATAGGCAGGCAAAAAGCCATTTATTTTAATTAAAGTAGGCAGGCAAAATGCCATTTTTTACCTAAAATAGGCATGCAAAGGCCATTTATTTTACCTAAAATAGGTATACAAAAAGCCATTTATCTTACTTAAAATAGGCCTGCAAAAAGGCATTTATTTTTACTAGAAAATGCATTCAAAAGGAATTCATTCGACCTAAAGTAGAGGAGCAAAAAGGCACGTAAAAGAAGATAAATCATATTTAAAAGAAATTATTGTAAAAAAAATAATGATTCACATATTTGCTCTAACTCTACAATTAACATTTGCACTTACGTGTGAAGAAATGATCTTGCATTTTAATAGTCATTAAACATCACCTTCCGACATGATGGCAACGAATTTCTTGTACTCGCGACGCTGTCTCTTCGCAATGCTGCTGTTGCCTTTTTGATTTTGAAATAACATCAATCGAAATATAATTTTATTTTCGTTCTTCGTACTTGTGAGGTCATCAGCACCGAGAAAGGTATATCTTATATAGAGGAATCGTTCTCAGAAGAGATCGGAGACCATACTCAAAAGTACGATGGCTTTCCTCGTGAGCGAACAAAGCCTGTCGGCAACAACGAAAAAAAAAAAAAAAAAAATAAATAAAAATCTTTACCGGCAACATCTTTTTATGTAGATTTTTATCACTTCCTCTGCTTTCATATAAAGATAAACCACGATTGTGCCTTCATGTGTTTCAGGTTTGCAAGTGTATGTTCAGGATGGTCGACATCGGTGCCAGGAGATTAAAAAAAAATAACGTAAAAGGCCGAAAATGACAAAAATAAGACAAAATGCCAAAAGATAGGCATAAAAAACTAAAATAAGCAAAAATTGGTAAAATGAAAATCTAAAACAAACTCAGAAGTACGTTTGTTGCCATAAAATAGTAACATCAAAAATAAATTTTGTCAAACTTCCGAGCTGTATTAATTAGTGTATTAACGAAAACGCGTTTCTTGTAACTTACGGTATCTACAGACGTGATGAATATCGATCCCGTTTGATTCCTCTCGTCAAGGAAAATCAATTGGCACAATTCTTAGCCTTTTTTCTGCTACATTACAATACATTTTAATGTCGTGCTAAGCAAGAAGGCTGTATCTCCTCAACTGTTAATTTCGAGAGAAAGCAGATTTTAGTAACCACAACTGGGACGCCAAGAAATTATTCAGAAATTCTAGAATTGCATATTTTGTAATTCTCCTGCTTACCCTTGTGATGCATAGGGCCAGGATGTACGTGATTGTTCTGGCCCCGCGTTTGCGGTAGAATGCTGGTTGGGGGATCAGGCTAATGAAATATGCCGAAATAACTGAAGTATGCGCCAGGCCTCATCCTTGCGTGGTAATGTAAGTGGCGACCGAATTTAGCTGACGTACCATTTTCTTATCCTACTTACCATGTCCAAGACTGTGATCTCGCTGGATCGGTGTAGCTCTCGGTTCGATCGTACTACACTAATATTCCAAATGACAACAGTTGTATAAATTAAGAAATGTGCTGCCGAATAGTTTGTTACATCTGATGGTGGAAACTGTCCGCCGATAAAAAAGTATGACCTGGTTCAAAATATTTGCAATTTCATTAGAACTGATACTTTAATTGAGAAATTAGAACAGTCACCAGTTCGTGTTTGGGCCCACTCGGTTATCAAGCAAAATTATTACATCTACGTAACGAATGTGAACATAAGTGTGTGAAATGTATTTATCAAATATTTTTCCTTCCTGATATTCATGCTAGAGGGTCGCAAGGGTCTTGATTTTTTGTTAATTTCCGAAGAGTACAAAAGTTTAATTAAAACTTATTATTCTTTGACCAAAAAAACTCTTTTGAGCATATAATTCCCGGCAACGGAATCACCTTCTCCACGTCAGCTGAAACAACTATGCTGTTTTGGAAAATTGTACTCTGCATCCGCTCCGATGTATAAATCCATTCATTAGGAGTGTCTCAATTCCTCTCGGATGCTTAACTAACTCCAACGGCCCGGAGAATATCGCTCCTGTCACCAGGGCTCTACCCATGACGGCAACCCCGCTCACTCTCCTCTGGGTCAGTTCTTAGGCCTGCGACACACGAGCGTGGCGTTGACGTGCGTCACATAACGCTAATGACATAACCTGCGTCTATTCCTGCTCAGACGAGTCACTTAACGCGCGTCGTACATTAACACTATCTGAGGCGAAAAGGCACACAAGAGACCTTGGCGACGTGCATTGTTGCCAACGCGTGTCGCCTAGCGGGCGTAGACCGGTCGCGCGGTGAAAGCTAGAAAACGCGCGTTATGTTAACTTACGTTGTGGGTCGAGCTGATCACCATGAGCGCTCGTGTGTCGTTTCGCATTCGATACAGTGTTAATCGACGACGATCGTTAAGTGATTCGTGTTGGTGGGCGAAGACGTAGCTCACGTCATCAGTGTTAGGTGACGTGCGTCAACGCAAAGCTCATGTGATAGGTCTTACGGTGTCCCTCCCATTTAACGAATTGGCAACTGCGTTACAATAGACTGCCTAGCCATATTAAAGCGCGTTCGCGAGTTGGGGACTATCCCCAAATGAAATAATCTATCGCAGGTCAATACAATATTTCTAATTCAGTTATTCTTTGTACAGGTTCTGCTGGTTTAATAGTATTTTAATTGGAAGTTCACGATATCTTTTTGAAAATTTCACGATCCAAAATCGTGTTGAACGTGAATAGCGTTGACACCTCTAAGCTTCAAGGGACTTACATTTCCAATCAGCCTCTTCGAAGATTGTTCATATTTTATCCTAAACTCGCCAACAATGAACCCCACGCGGTCAATCATTTTCACTTCTCCGAGAGTACTCAACTCATCAGATGTGCTTTCTGATGTTGCCACTCAAAATATTTTCTTGATTGCTATTCTAAACTTTTATTTGAACTTTAGAAGACCAATTAAAGTCTGTTATTTTTACACTTCATTGTTTCTTGCACGGAAATGATTCTGCCACTTTTTTAAATTTTTCGGTAATATTTTTACAACTATATTTCGTTTAATCAAAGCCTCTATAGGATTTTATCAACCAAATTGCGGTAGAACCAATCGGTTTCCTACAAACGCTGCCGCCGCGGCGGTTTT